TTCTCATGTTATTTTTATCACTGTCATGGCTCAGTGATAGAAATATTTTATAATCTCTAAGATAAAATATTTTATAATCTCTAAGATGCTGTTCAGTACTTGAGGTCCATGTTGATCAAAACCAACCTGTTTGACATGATTATTTTTGCTCTGAGAAAAAGGGAGACCATTTGCTGTTCTCTATAGTGGAGCACGTTGGAGGGATCTAACTGAAATAACTTCTAACTGGATTATTCCTGATGACATTTATAAGGGCGACTATGAGGACACAGGAGGCTAGGACAGGCGCAGGGTGTGGAGGGGCTGCCTGCCATCAGCGAGTATAGAATTGCATGGGGGTGTTAGATAAATAAAACTGGCGTTTATGCTCCAAAGAACTGTACTCAGAAAACTACAAGACACTGGAAAAAAGAAATAGAGGAAAATCCAAGCAAATGAAAGAATATACTACGTTTATGAATTGTTAGAATTAACATCATTAAAATGTCCATACTACTCAAGGCAATCTATAAGTTCAATGCAATCCCTAATAAAATACCAACAACATATTTTACTATGCTGTATACCTGAAACTAATATAATATTGTATGTCAACTATACTTTAATTAAAAAGATCTTTACACTCCAAATTGAAATTAGACATGAAAACAAACAAAAAAAATAAGGTGTTTGTGACTTAGCTCCTTAGACTCATTAGTTACATATTCTTTTATATTGGATTGATTCATCATGAATGGAACTCTTCATGATGATTTTTTTCTCCCACCTCCCTTGATCTTACAATAAGTTTCCTCCATATTTTTACTTACAAAATTGCTTTGGAGTTATCCCCTCGCTGGATCATGTATTCCTTGGTAGAGTCTAAATGCCACGAGTGTGTGGGTGGTGCCCACCTTCTCTGGGATCCCCTTTAGAGAGTTGTCCTCGGTGCAACATTATACAAGCCAATCCATCTGGACCCAGTCTTGGAACCAATTTAGTAAAGCAACAAGAAACCAATTAGAAATGTATTTTCATTACCATCAAGCAAATGTTTGAAATGATGGTACCCACATATAAAGATGCTTTAAAATGGCCGGTTAAAAGATGGTCATCATGAAGGTTTGGTAGATTTATCATTGCTTAGTGTGTCACTTGATATTTTTTTGAGGAATAAAATTATTAATTATTCATTTGTTACTACTCCCTTTCTCTGCATTGTCTTGGTTTAATGCATGTGGAACTTACATAAGGGAGATATTTGTGAGCTAGGCTCTGACTCATCTAGACTAGTGCTTTTCTCTCTTTTGCTCCCCATCCTCTTCTATTTAATTACTAAAGAGTGAAGTAACTTTAATTAGCAATGCAGCATTTCCCAGACCTCATTTTTGGGATTAACATATCCACCCCTCCCCCATGGGGAATGCATCTCAATTGACAATCTCAAAAATTGGGAATGATCAAATAATAAGTGTTCCCTTATGATAAAAAATGTAAAACCTGCTCGTAAAATTAATATGCTAATCAGAGGTAACTTATCAAAATGTCTTCTTTTTTTTTTTAATATATTTTATTGATTTTTTACAGAGAGGAAGAGAGAGAGATAGAGAGTCAGAAACATCGATGAGAGAGAAACACTGACCAGCCGCCCCCCGCACATCCCCCACCGGGGATGTGCCCGCAACCCAGGCAGATGCCCCTGACCGGAATCGAACCTGGGACCCCTCAGTCCGCAGGCCGACGCTCCATCCACTGAGCCAAACCGGTTTCGGCCAAAATGTCTTCTTAACTGCACCATTGTCTCCTTCTACCATGACTCATGGAGTGTAGACTACAGTTTTTCTTCATTTATCTCCTATGAAGATGACAATCAACATTTGACTTAGAAGACTGTTTTACCAATGTTTGCTTTAAAAATTGCTCAGTGTTTTGGGAGGTCTTTCTGGATGGTGTTGCTAGCATTTTTCTAGCTGAGTAATCTTTTTTTCTTACTAACTTGTATCAGTAAATTTATTCACATGAAAAAGAAGCATTACCCTGGTATAATAAACATTCCTGAAAGCAGTAGCCTTCTCTGGAGCATTATTCTATTTTCAGGGTCGCTGACCTTTTGCTTCCTTATTGGTTGCCATAGTGATGATCTGAGCAATGCATAAGGGAGCTTTACTAAAATGAGGGAATCAATAAGCTTTTTAACTGTGATGTTTATGTTGATAGTTCCTTATAACATATATCAAAATAAAATTCACCCATATAAATGTATCCAATAGTGGGATTTTATTAAAAAAATGTTTAAATAGATGTTTATGTAAATTGCAGGTGATCGAGTGTATTCTGTGGCTTTCTTAGAATACTTTTGTGAGCACATAAACATATAGATAAAACTTGAGATGTAAATTTGAAAGATCCATGTGAAATGCTTAATAATGCTTTTATAAGCAAACTTCAGAAGTTGCAAGTGCCACGGTGAATGATTCTAAAGCAAAGTCAAGTTAGAAAACTCTTACCCTTTGTCGTAAGAACACTCAAGGCCAAGCTCTCCCCATATGCACCTGTACAACTTCTAATGATTTCACAGGAATCCTGAGACCCGCAGGAGAAGGCAACCTGGTGATCTGCCAAAACGCAGGAGGCACAGTAGAAGAGCATGAGTTATGTTTGTTTCCAAAGTTCACTTAACAGCTTTAAATCTTTTACTCATTGGTTGTAGCTAGACTACTATTTTTAGGATTATAATGAAACTTCTATGTACAAAATTTTGAGGATTTTGATTATTTGTCCTTTAGAATTACATAACAATTGTTTTCAAATTATATTAATATATTCCGGTTGCAATGGTAAGTAAAATGTAATTACATTTAATACAAGTCTATGGTTGTCAGTTGCAAAGAAGGAAGTCTGAGGAGTGACTTAATTCACAAGGTCCATTATCACGGTAATTTGTCTAGACTCTCAGGTGCAGGTGTTATGCTATTGATTCCGATGCCTCATGTCTAACTAACCCTCTCACTGGTCTGTGCAGAGCAACTGGCGGGGTGCTAGGGGAGGGTGCAATTTGCTCAAGGCACAATAGCCGCATATAACCTGCTTCTCTCTCTCCAAAGCCTGCATTTTTTCTTCTCCTTGATGTTCGAGAACCTATAATTAGGTTAAGACTCCAGAATTCTGTATCCCTATTCTATTAAATATACCCTAAGGTTTATTGAAAACAAAAATCAGCATCCCCTGATGCTAGGACTAGAGGATAAAATTAAATTGATGTTGAGGCTGTCAATAGTGTGTGAAAAAAACAAACTATGTGCTTATTTCAAGTGTCAAAATAACTTCTTTGAAAAACACAGGCAATATCTGACATCATAGATTTTTCACGTATCATTGTTTTTTTCTAAAAAGATTTCTTAGATATAGGAAGAACTTTAAAAAAATTTGGCTCCATGTATTTTAAAATTAAAGTGCCAAATTTAATTATATCCTGATGTTATTTGGTTTCAACTATCATATTTATTTTTCTGAAATGAAAAATCTTATCCTTTACTTAATGAAAGTACAAAACTAGTAAAACTTCTAGTGACTCTGCTATTCAAGATCTAGTTGTTGACCATCTACCACTGTAAAATGGGGCATCGATGGGAACAAAGCAGGCAAAGTTCTTCCTTTCATGAAGCGTATGCTCTTTGGAGGAAATCAAATAATAGATAAATGAATAGATGATGTGCCAGGTGGCAGTAAGATCCAGGAATTAAAATAAAACAGGAAAAGAGTATAGAGAGTGAATGGGGAATGAGAAGGAAGGACTATTTTAGAGACGGTTGTCAGCCAAGTTCATCATTTCCTGCCAGGATTATTTCATTAGGTTTCTCATTTGTCTCTCGTGCTCCTAGTGACTTCACATAGCAGCCACACAGAATATTAAGTTGGATCATATTTCACTTGCTCAAAATCCTGCAGGAGCTTCTACTTAGAATACAATTCCCAGTCCTTTGAGCCTGTAAAACCCCACATGCCCTTCCTCTCTTTTCTTCCCTGGCCCCATTTCTTTCTATCTGTCTCCTGGTCTACCTCACTCGAGGCCTAGGTTGTCCTGAACAAACCAGTAGGTCTCCATCTCAGAACACCTTACTCTTGCTGTCCCTCTGACGGAACACACTTCCCTGAGACACCTTCTGTGGTAGCTCTCAGAGCGGCCTTCTAGGATCACTCTATCTAAAGTAGGGCTGGCCATCACACTGTCTCTTTCTTCTGCTTTCTTTATCTTCATAGCACTTATCTCCACTTGCTGGGTGCGTGGAACATAAGTATCACAAGAGCAAGGATTTGGTCTCTCTCACCACTGTATCTCCACACCTGGAATGGTGGCAACAAATTATTGCAGGAGCTCACTAATTACTTGTGGCATGAATGAATATGAATGAATATGAATGAATGTGCTCTAAGAATGGGCTGCTGGAAAATGGGGAGAAAATAGGAGAAAAATGTCAAATGCTTAGAGGTTTTAAAACGGATCCCTGCCCTGGCTGGTTTGGCTCAGTGGATAGAGCGTTGGCCTATAGACTGAAGGGTCCCAGGTTATTTCTGATCAAGGGCACATACCTCGGTTGCAGGCTTGATCCCTGGCCCTAGTTGGGGCATGTGTGTGAGCCAACCAATTGATATGTTTCTCTCACATTGATGTTTCTCTCTGTCTCTTCCCCTCTCTCTAAAAATCAATGGAAAAATAGTCTTGGGTGAGGATTAACATAAATAAATAAATAAGCAAAGAAAGAAAGAAAGAAAGAAAAAATCCCCCGTGTGAGTGCTTTCCATGGTCCTAATTCTGTCTCCATTGGCACTTGGCATAGCTATTCCTAGCCGCAGCCTGACCCAGCCTCCTTTCCCATCCTTGTATACAACACAGCGAGCCTTTGTCAACTGTCATCAGTGTACACTGCACATTATTGATGTGAAATGTTGGTGATCACATTTCCAATTTCCAAAATATTTTAAATGGGTTGATTGATGGTCATATTCTTTTTAAATTGCAGCCTCACCAAATGCCCCCAAACTCGGACCCATGGAGCTGACCGTTGTTATTACTGTGCCAGTGTGCCTGCTGTCCGTGGCGGCAGTGCTGAGCATCTGGGCATGCCAAGGTCGACAGTGTAGCAACAGGAAGAAAAAGAGGCAGAATGTGGAGGAGCCCCTCTCTGAATGCAACCTGGTAAATGCTGGGAAAACTCTGAAAGATCTGATTTACGATGTGACCGCCTCTGGATCTGGATCTGGTATGTGCCCGTGGTCCATTTCTTAAGTAAGGAAACTCTTATTTAAATGCTGGAGGCCCGGTACATGGATGTGTGCACTGGTGAGGTCCCTCAGCCTGGCCTGTGCTCTCTTGCAATATGGGACCCCTCGGGGGATGTCGGCTGCTGGTTTTGGCCCGATCCCTGCAGGCCACCTGGGGGATGTGGCTGAAACCGGCAATCCGGGGAGGAGCCCAAGCCTGGGCGCCACACTGCTCCTGCTCATTCCGGCCCTGCTGACCTGCCGCCACTGCTTGGTAGCGCTGTCGTAGAGGTGGGAGAGGCTCGTGGCCGCTGCAGCTGCGCTCACCAGCCATGAGCCTGGTTTCTGGCTCCCATCTGTCAGCTGAGTGATGCTCCTGCTGTGGGAGCACACTGACCACCAGGGGGCAGCTCCTGTGTTGAGCATCTGTCCCCTGGTGGTCAGTGCGCATCATACTGACCAGTCGTTCGGTCACTTAAGCATATAGATAGATAGATAGATAGATAAATAAAAACAGCCCTAGCCAGGTGGCTCAGTTGGTTGGAGCATTGTCCTATACTAGTACACCAGAAAGTTGTAGGTTTTATCCTCAGCTGGGGTGTGTATGGGAGGCAACCAATAAATGTTTCTCTCTCTTCCTCTTCTCTCTCTAAAATAAATAAAAACATATCCTTGGGTGAGGGTTAAAAAGTAAAGAAACCAGTAAAAACAATTTTTAACGAAAAAGGACCCCAATATGAATTCTGTCATTTCAAATGCTTGATCTGGTACATGCTAAGTTTTGACATAGAAGTTTATTTTAGGATTAGAAGAAGAGAAAAAACCATCATGGCCTAAAGAATTAAGTCTTTTCCGTTGGCTTTTGAGCCTTTAGGTATTCAGGTTCTCATTCTGGCAGTCCTTCAGAATTCCTGAAGCATGAAAGAGTCTCTCTGCTCTCCCCTCTCCATTATGATGAGGAAGAAAAATTGTTGCTCCCCTGGTAATGGTTCATGTGCACAAAGGAGTTACTGTATCTAAGGAGCTGAGTTCTGAGCAAGAGAACTCAGTTATGCAAAGTAATGTACTCAGAGCACCTTTCGCTTGTGGTTATGAAGGTCTTCCGAATCTGTAGGTACCCCTGGGATGTGTGGGGGAAGTTCCCAGGGAGCTGACCTGAAATTAAAATCAAGACTATGTTCTTAAAGCACAGAAACGAGATGAAAGGGAAGAGCAGAGCATTGGTGTGCTGGCTTTTGCTGCTGAGGTTGTATGATAATTCTCTTCGTCTTTAATGGAACTCCAGGACCTGCTGACACAACTCAAGTATAGGGCTGTGTTCTAGCCTAAATGAGCCTTTCTTGTAGCACAAAGCGTCTGAGGGCTTTGTGGGTTTCTGGTGATAGAGCGGAGTTTCCCCTGTGATCACAAACTCCCGGAGGGGCAGCAGGCTCCCTGCTCTCATGTACACGTCCAGAAATCCTGTCAGCATGCGGTGTTGCTGAAATGTGGACTAGGGTGAGGCTAGGTGAGCCATGTCAGACGCCCCTGCATCTCCCCTTGCTTTGGAAGGATTATTAAGGATGATGACCCCAAACATATTTCAAGGAGCACACAGATAGGCACAGTTAACAGGGGTCAACAAGAGAGAGGCACTGGCATCTATATGAGCTTCATATGTAATATGATATAGCTATGGACTTACCACAGAGTCCAGAAAGGAGAGGTCTGATCGTGTCACCCAGGGAACCCAGGTAGTTGGCTGCTTCTGGGGCAAGATTGCCTGCCCTCTCACTGACGAACATCTCAACGTTTACACCCTCCCTGCACAGATTAGGTGGCGTATGTCTAGGGGAGGAGCGTTGGCAACGTGTCTCCAAACGACAAAGTTTATAACACTGAAATCCAAATCAAGTTATTGGCTAGAAAGATGGTATTCTTTCTTTAAAAGTAAAACTTGTAAAAAATAAATAAATAAATAAATAAAAGTAAAACTTGTGCAGTTCACTACTTTTTTCTTCCTTGAGTATTACATTTTGGGGCCCATTGTGCCCTAATATTTTGAGCGCTGGCAACAATGTACGCACAGAATATGTGCACAGAGAGCTCTGATTTGTGCCAAGTTCCTTGGAACCTTAAATAATTTCTTCATGAGGTTCAAGTGATTAAATAACCGTCTACTTAATTACCACCCAGACATTTCAGTTCACCCGTGTTAGGTTGAAATGTGTATTTTGGAGCAACTCTGAATATGTTTAATATGACCAAGGATTTTTCTTTCAAATCAACGTTCTGGAGATTTTATAACTGGAGACTGTATATTTAACAAAGTAGTCATGAGCCAGGACATACAATGAAAAATTAACATTCAGGTTTTTTTTCTCCTTCTGTGCGTCTTTAAACCCGAGTCTGGATTTATTGACTGCTGGACTCTCTCCTTTTTTGGTTATCCTAAAAAGAAAGCTGTAAGCGTACTGTGCAGGGATGACTTTTGTAATGCAGAATTCGAAAGAGCCTTAGGCATGTTCCCCTAGGCCAGCTGCGTATACGTCCTTGGCAGTGACCACTGGCTAACGTAAGTGAGGGCAGCACTGCCTTTCATAAGCAGAGCTGGTTTGTCTGCAGCAAGGCTTCTGCCACAAAAGCTCCCCCCCGCCCCCCAGCAGAGGGGATTGGCGGTTCTGCTTCTCTTAATTGGCTGGTGACCTTAAACGAGAGGCAGCTTTGTCAAGTGCTGAGAAACAAAAATTGTGAAACTTATCCTTGACCTGGCCAGGGACCAATTTCAAAGAGATGTAATGCCCGCGAGAGAGGAGCATGGACTGCCGTGTTCCTGGGCTGTCTCTGAGAGTGGACAGTGTCTCGGTGGCTTCTAAGAGACTGGATAGGCTGCTGCTTTGCTCTCATGATAGAGCACTTCTGACTGACGGTGACATGAGGTGCCATGTTCCATTAGACAGGCATCCGCTCCTGCAACCCCCGTGAAAAAGAATAAAATGAACCAGGAGGAGGAGCAACATCCATGTATCTTCAAAGAAAATCTCTAAGTGGACAACCCAAGAATTAGATTATCTTGGGGGGCTGCTTTGAATGATACCGAGGGAACTTTCATTGAGTTTTACAGTCTCAACTTAATTGCTGCACTGAGTACCTTAGGTCATGTCTTACTTTGTCCCTGGTGTGTGGCACTGATTGGGTGCTTGATCAGTTTTCAATTTGAAAGCATTGGCTTATCTAGTTCTCTAACCAAATATCGTTGCATTGTTGTTGGTAACGATTGTTGGTGGTGATGTTTTTGTGAGTATGTGTGTGCATGTCGGGGAAGGGAGGAGAGAGATTGAGGTTGAGATTTGGCTTAATAATTGTTAGTACAACTTTTACTGTGTGTGGTCAGATGGTAAAACTGACTGTAGCCTACAAAAATAGCCCATATAGTTTGCTGCTAGCAGTCTTCCCAGCAGGGGAGAAATGCATCTTATCCACTAAATGGTGAGAAAGCAAGAATCTGGACTGAAGACCAGTGTTTTAGTTGTAAATCTGCCTCCCCATTAACAGCTTATTCCTGGGCCACTTCGTGATTACTGCGGCCCCCCATTTTCTCTTTCCTAAAATGAATAAGGGGAACCAGATGATCTAAGAAGAACTTTATGGCTGTGGGGCTTTTTGACTAATTGTTGAGACCCATAATAGCAAACTTACAGTCTGTGCTTATGTAGCCATAGTGGGTGGTTCTCATGAGGCTGAGAACATGTGAATACACCTTGGCTCATCTCAGGAGCAGAGGCGAGCCCTCCGGAGCTTGCGCGGTTGTTGCTCTGAGGGTTTCCCCACTATCAAGCACAGTGACAACAACTGCGCATGACTCTCTAGATTAAATTCTACTGTAAACTCTTTATCTGTTTTCCTCTAATTATAAGAGTCATATACCTGCTGTAGAAATTAAGAAAATGTACAATATGAGAAAGAAGCCTATCATAGTTCCCTTTGATGCCACTAAATAGAAGTAGCATTTAGTATATTTCCTTTTTCAGCCTTTTCCCTGTGCATAGTTTAAATAGCTAGGTACACTTACTTAAATGGATAGAATTTACTGTGCTATTTTATTTAACGCAGCAAAAGCATTTAACCGAATCATTAGGACATACCTCTTCGTAAGCAGCATCATTATTATTGGCTCTGAGTAATTTGACCTAAGACATGATATTAAGGACTAACTATTACTGAGTGTGTAATATGCTAGATACTGTGCTAAGAGCTTAACATGCTTGCTAATTCTCATAGTATCGCTATGAGATGAGGGATACCATTACCTCCTGCTTTTCAGACAAGGAAGCCAAAGCTTAGAGAAGTTCAATAACTTGCCCATGGTTACCACGTGGCACAGCTGAAATGTGAAGCCAGGTTTTTCTTATTTGTGCTATTAATCTCTGCACTATCTATAATAATAAAAGCATAATATGCTAATTAGACCGAATAGCCGAACGACCTTCCGGACATCATTAAGGACGTCCTTCCAGACAAAGCCACTGCGGCGGGGGCTGAGGCAGAGGCAATTAGGGGCAATCAGGCAGGCAGGCAGGCAGAGTGATAAGGGGAGATAAAAAAGGCAGGCAGAGTGGTTAGGGGCAATCAGGCAGGCAGGCAGGCAGGCAGGCAGGCGAGCTGTTAGGAGCCAGCAGTCCCAGATTGCGAGAGGGTGCAGGCCGGGCTGAGGGGATCCCTCCTTTCCCTCCCACCCCTGCACGGGCCTCTAGTATTTAATAATTTTCTATTATCAGACACCTTTCCTTATTTTTCCTGTAAATAATAATATATTAAACATTTTGACAGAAATTTTGCAATTACATTGAATCTTTGGGATAGAATTATAGAGGTAGAGTTATTGATTCAAAGAATCTAAATATTTTACATGTACTTAGAATATATTTTCTTTGATGTCTTTTTTTCTGCAGAAAATATCCATTTGATATCTTCTATCATTGCATCTTGCTTTTAGATAACATGATTATCTTACTTGATTGTTGAATTTGATTCTTCACTTTCCAATTTTAATTTGTTTTAAATTCTCAAAGAATTCTTTTGCATTCTCAGTTGTACTAGGAACCAATATATTTTATTTTAAAGGCTAACAGCATTTCTTATACTTTTGTGTACTTAGTACTCTGACTGGCTTTAATGTACAAATCAGGGAATTCAGCAGCAATTTTAGAATGATCAGACATCTGTAGCAGCAGGCTATGTCTAAGAAATTTGTATTTGTGAATATGAGAAGAGAAATCATATTAAGAATTTGGAATATGTTTTTAGCATGCTTTGACATTAAAGTTTTGGTATAAAGGTGCTTATTTCTTCAACATCAATAAAATTATTAAAGTGCTTAAATGTTGGCCTTTTTATGTGAAAATACCGGTCATTCTGACAGCTCTTTTCTGGCACTTACTGCTCTTCACCATCCGTCCCATCTTTTCTTTGGTTAGGGTTACCTCTGCTGGTTCAGAGAACAATTGCCAGGACGATTATCCTCCAGGAGATTGTAGGAAAAGGCCGATTTGGTGAGGTCTGGCATGGAAGATGGTGTGGGGAAGATGTGGCTGTGAAAATATTCTCCTCCAGAGATGAAAGATCCTGGTTTCGCGAGGCAGAAATTTACCAGACGGTGATGCTGAGACACGAGAATGTCCTTGGTTTCATTGCTGCTGACAACAAAGGTATTTTCAATCTAATTGGTTTCAGCAAAGAAAGTGTTATGTCTATTATCAGATGAGAATAAATCATCTTTTTATTTTAATAAAGTCTACATAAAAGTCTAATTTCTTTATTGAGAAAAGAAAAAATCCTTTCTCTTCTTCATCGATACACGTGCGTAACCATACGGATAAAGCAGGGCAAAGGGCAAACCTGTCATATGAAATGATGATGACACTGTAGCCAGGTTGACATTTTAAATATTTGATGACTGGTGAACTTCCCAATCAGATCAGAAATTTCAACTGGAACAGAATCCTGGGAGAATCCTGCCATGCTGGTTTTTTATCCCTGTGGTTGGTGCATCATGAAGAGATCTGGAGGCATCTTGGTGGGGGTAGGGGTTGGGGTGGGGGTTGCTTTGAGTGTCCAGGGGAAAGGAATGTCACTGGGAGTTTTCAATAGTAGCTCTTAGCTAATCAGGACAGAAATATTTCAGTATTTTGATAATTGATACAAATGTATCAATGAATGCTAGTTGAATGTTCACCTTTGCCAGGACTATAGTTTTCATCTGTGCAACAAGCTTAAACTCCAGGATGCAAGCTTTCTGTGACCATTATGGGAATGGCGGCAAGCAAGACAATTTCAGTGAGATTTTCTATTGATGTACTTTGAGTATGATTTATATCTTGACCTTTAACATTAACAGCACCAAACAGTATCACTTTTTGAGTTTTGTGGAACAAGACAGAGCATCAACTTTCTGGTATTTAAATAATACTTAAAATATATTGTATATATCCCTGAGCAACCAGGGACTGGATATAAAGTTTGTAGATTACCTATGCTCTCTTTTCTTTTTTTGCATAGCTTTTGTTCATTTAACTGTGCATTAGTTTCCTTAAAGGGGAACAGGGAACAAAGGTGAGCATATCTCCAGTCCATTGGTTTTTATTCGATTCAGTAATACATAAAGAACTTTGGGAGGTAGAGATTGTAACCTCTAGCTAAAAAAAAAAAAGATTATCTGTGGATATCAGGTACCTACCAATACCTACAAAAATTAAAAATCTATGATTATTTTTATATAATACTAGAGGCCTGGTGCATGGATTCGTGCACTGGTGGGGTTCCTCAGCCTGGCCTGCACACTCTTGCAATCCGGGACCCCTCGAGGGATGTTGGCTGGCCTGCAGGGATTGGGCCGAAATCAACAGTCCAACATCCTCGGAGGGATGTAGTAGTGTGCGAAGTGGCAGGCAGCCGTGGAGGAGCCTGAGCCTGGGCCGAACACCACACTGCTCCCGCTCATCCCGGCCCCACTGCACCTGCCACCACAGTGGCTCGGTAGCACTGTCTTGGAGGCGGGAGAGGCTTGCACCGCTGCAGCTGTGCTTGCCAGCCGTGAGCCCGGTGTCTGGCGCCCCTTGGTCAGCTGAGCATGCTGACCACCAGGGGGCAGCTCCTGTGTTGAGTGTCTGCCCCCTGGTGGTCCATGTGCATCATAGTGACTGGTTGTTTGGTCGTTTGGTTGGTTGCTTAGGCTTTTATATATATAGATAATCAGGATCATGAACGTATCCATTATTAATTACATGGCAAAAGAGAAACTTAGGTTATTATACATTTTGGCTATGATTACATTTGCTGATGATTTATCTTATCTGATTTGCTAGAGAAAAACTGTGTAAAGCCAAGATGAGCTTTAAAGAAAGATTCTTCCGGGAAACTTATATGCTTACTAGAGGCCCAGTGCATGAAATTCATGCAAGGGGCTTGGCCCTCGCAGCCACAGTGGCTTGCCTTGGCCCTCACAGCTGTGGCTTCATCCAGAAGGTCATCTGGAAGGATTTCTGTAATGTCGTTCTGCCGTCTGGTCTAATTAGCATATTACGCTATTATTATTATAGATATGCATAGCCCCTGGGCACAGACAACAATGTGGTGAAGGCCTGGGAGGGGTGGGTGCCAGGTGGAGGTGGTCAATAGGGAAAAAAAAAACGTGACATCTGTAATACTATCCTATATAATAAAAGATTAATATACTAAGTGTCTGGTTGTCCAATCGGCCATTCAACCTATCAACGCATAATATGGTAATGATATGCTAAGGCCACTCAACTGTTCTCTGTGACGTGCACTGACCACCAGGGGGCAGACAGTTGACCAGTCAACCAGTCGCTATGATGTGTACTGATCACGAGGGGGCAGATGCTCCAACCTGTAGGTTAGCTTGCTACTGGGGTCCGGCCGTGGAGCCTTCCCGCATCCTTCCCCGGCTGGCCAACCTCCCACATCTCTCCCCGGCCCCAATCATGCACCAGTGGGGTCCCTCGGCCTGGCCTGTGCCCTCTCTCAATCTGGGACACCTCAGGGGATGCCCGAGAGCCAGTTTAAGCCTGATCCCTCAGGCTAGGCCGAGGGACCCCACTGGTGCATGAATTCGTGCACTGGGCCTCTAGTCAACAATAAAGATAAATTAAAAAGAAATAAAAGATTCTTTCCAAATTCTTAACTACATATTCTTTGAAAATATATCCAGCCTATTGAAAATGAAACATTTCTTGTTAAGCTGTTAAGAAATTCTTTTCCTTCCTAATGTTGAGTTAAACTACCTACTGGTTAGATTAATTAAAATGTGGTGAAAGCAGTAATGACTTACAGTTATACTAGAGGCCTGGTGCACAAAAATTTGTGCACTCGGGGGAGATGGGGATCCCTCAGCCCGGCCTGTGCCCTCTCGCAGGCTGGGACCCCTCGGGAGATAACGACCTGCTGACTTAGGCCTGCTCCTGGGTGGCAGAGAGCAGGCCCAATCCCTAGGTGCAGCCCCTGGTCGGGCTCAGAGCAGGGCCGATTGGGGAGTTGGGACACCGCCCCCTGTCACACTCAAGGCAGGGTCGATGGGGAGGTTGTGGTGCCACCCCCTGTCACGCATAGAGCAGGGCCCATCAGGGGGGTTGGGGCTCCGTACCCTGTGACGCACAGAGCAGGGTCAATCAGGGGGTTGGGGAGCTCCCCTCTGTCATGCACAGAGCAGGGCTGATCAGGGGGTTGAGGAGCTCCCCCCTGTCACTTACAGAGTAGGGCTGATAGGGGAGTTGGGGCACCGCCCCCTGTCACACTCAGGGCAGGGTGGATCAGGGGGTTGGGGCGCTGCCACTCTCACACTCAGGGCAGGGCTGATGGGGAGGTTATGGTTCTACCCCGTCACACACAGAGCAGGGCCCGGGGGGGGGGGGCGGGGGTTGGGGCGCCACACCTTGTCACACATGGAGCAGGGCCAATCAGGGGGTTGGGGCGCCGCACCCTGTCACACACAGAGCCGCAGGGCGATCAGGGGGTTGGGGAGCTCCCTCCTATCAGGCACAGAGCAGGGCTGATCAGGTGGTTGGGGCGCCTTCCCCTGTCACAAACAGAGCAGGGCGGATAGGGAGGTTGTGGCCCCGCCCCCTGTCACACACAGAGCCACAGGGCGATCAGGGGGTTTGGGCGCTGCCCCCTGTCACGCTGATCCCAGTGCTGCAAGGCCTCGCGGCTCCGCTGATCCCGGTGCTGGGAGGCATATTACCCTTTTACTATATTGGATAGAGGCCTGGTGCATGGGTGGGGATGGCTGGTTTGCCCTGAAGGGTGTCCTGGATCAGGGTGGGGGCCCCCACTGGGGTGCCTGGCCAGTCTGGGTGAGGGGATTATGGCTGTTTTCAGCTGGTCACACACCCTTCAGGGTGGGGATCCCCACTGGGGTGCCTGGCCAGTCTGGGTGAGGGGCTGAGGGCTGTTTTCAGGCTGGGACTGAAGCTCCCAACCGCTCCTTTTTTTCTTTTTTCTTTTTTCTTTTTATTCTGGGCCAGCTTTAGCCCTGGCTCCAGCTCTGAGGATTCGGCTTCGGCTTCTGAAAGCAGGTATCTGGTTTGTTTCGTTTCTATAATCGAAACTTTGTATCAACTCCAGCTCTGAGATCCCGGCTAGCTGAAAGCAGGTTTCTGGGGTTTTGTTTAGCTTCTATATTTGTTACAATGTTTCTTAAACTGCAAGCTCAGAGGATGGCAAGGCAGGCAGGAACGTTGGAGTCCTCCGTCACTGAAGCAAGCAAGCCTCATGTTAGTTTCAAGCTGCCTAGCTTCCGGCCGCCATCTTGGCTGGCAGTTAATTTGCATATCTTGCTGATTAGCTGATGGAAAGGGTAGCGGTCGTACGCTAATTACCATGTTTCTCTTTTATTAGATAGGATGGATCATCTTGATGGGCTAATTTAATCATGATGTTTATTGGATTATAAAATAAGAAAGTTCATTTGCACAAGAAAGATCATTCTTGATTTTCTCTTCTTCAGTTACTGGTCTACCTCTGTCAGTGCCTTCCTTGTCAGTAGCTTTGTTCCTAATTCCAAATGGTCTGTAACATCACTTTCATCATCATGCATTTTTGTATTTTTTGCAACACTTAAAGTTCCACTTTTTAGTCAACTGTCTGACAAAGACATTGATGTGAGAAGGCAAAGATAGCCACTGGTGTTAAGCTGGGAGAGAGGTGAGAGTAAGGGTTAGTTTTATATAAGGTCAGTTTAGTAGTAAACTTTATGATGTTATGCTTATTTTTTTCATTGCTAGGAAGTGTTTTCACTACCAGCTTTGGAAATTAAATGCTTGGATAAAGAGGAGCTCTTGTACTTAACACTAGGTAGAAAAAGTCCTTAGCAATGATTTTTTTATAGTTTTGTTTCTCTGAGCATTGGAACTGGTCAAGAGTGCCCAGGGCTATTGTAGACACTTTATCCTGAAAGCTAAAGCTAGCTCTAGGGACTATAATACCTAAAGAAGACTTAGGCTGTTTTTTTATTCTGCTAATAATCTTTTATAAGCTTGATTAGCTTTTGGTTTAATGGGGGAGACTATTTGAAAATGTCTAGTTATTGTATTTGGCTCTTAATATACAATATTTGGGGGGAAATCATCAACTTCATATTAGAAAGGTAAGTGATATTAGCATTCTTAGAATGTTAGAGCTCCTATGGCAGTACGAATACTTTGTGTAAATTTTTTATATTTCTATTTTTTATTGGTACAATGTTTCTTAAAATCTCAAGAGAAATTTATAACACAACACTGAGCCTAAATGCATCTCTCAGTAGTTTCTCCTATAATGTGGTTGCTATCCCTGGCAAATATCAAGGGAATAAGAAAGTTGTTCAGTTAGAATCACTGCCTCACAGCTTCCTATAGCTATGATGGGGAACATATAACAGGCTGTAATATATCAACATCTTCAGGAACTCATTGAGACTTTTTACTTTACGAATTTGAACCGTCAGCATTATCCATGAAGGAATTCACTTTGCTTTGTTAACAATACAGATTTACTAGAAGCACTGACATTTGTTAAAAACTCTTGGCTTCTTTTTCAACATAGATTTACAGCACCCCAATTTTTTCCTGTTAGATAATGGAACTTGGACCCAACTTTGGCTTGTCTTGGAATATCATGAACAGGGCTCCTTGTATGACTATTTGAATAGAAACATAGTGACCGTGGCTGGGATGATCAGACTGGCACTTTCCATAGCTAGCGGTCTGGCCCACCTTCACATGGAGATTGTTGGTACACAAGGTAGGTATTTTATTTCCCGGTTTTTCTCCTTAAATATGAAGATAGGAACACTAAGTTGTATTGTATTTACTTATTTTTGTTTATCATCACCTCAGAATATTTTTGCCATTGATTTTTTAGAGAAAGTAGAATGGAAGAGGGGGAGAGAGAGAACATTGATGTGAGAGAGACACATCGATTGGTTGCCTCCCACACACATCTCAACTGGGGCCAGGGATCAAACCTGAAACCCAGGTACATGCCCTTGACCAGGAATTGAACCCATGACCCTCCAGTCTATAGGATGATGCTTTACCCACTGAGCAACACTGCCCATGGAGGAATACTACATTGTATTTTAGTGTTTAGTTGTATTTTATTTTATTACAGTTAACACTAAAGGTACTTTATAAAGCTGAAGATTTTGTCATGATAGAACCAACTATCATCTACATACTTGTCATTTTGTATATCATCCATAATAACATTTCTTTTCTGTTTACTGAATTAATAGAGAATTGGCTCTAGAAAGTCATTAGTTCAGTCAGAGTACTGGTTCTCCAATTTGGATTCATGATCCTTTTGATTTCTTAAAAATGATTGAGGACTCCCCAAAGTTTTTTTTGCCTGTGAATTATATCTATTAATATTTACTGTATTAGAACTAAAACTGAAAAATTTAAAAAAACTAATTTACCTAAAATAACAATAATTATTTAACCAATTAAATATTAGCATAAATAACATAATTTTTAAAAATTCACATAATTTTTTTATAAGGCAAAAGCCAGTTTAGTAAAAATTACGGTTTTGTTTTACATTTCTGCAAATATATTTAATGACTGGTGTAATGTCTGGATTTTCATGCCTGTTCTTCATTCAATCTGTTCCAACATGTTGCTTTGTTTGAAGTATGGGAAGAAAAGGTGACATCGCACAGACATATAGTTGGAAAACAGTCTCAAGGACCCCCAGGGATCTCCGGGCCACATTTAAGAACAGTTCATCTAGGATCTTAGACGTTTGAAACTTGTTTTGTAAGAGAATATTTGCTGTGTTTTCATGTGTACATAGCAGTGCTAATTCTTTCCTATTCATTCAGCAAACATATCTGAGTGGCTACTAAATGTGACCTAGTGACCTAAGCATTGAGGGCACGGTGATGACTAAGACACAATCTCTGCCCTTATGCAGTGTATAGTCTAGCTGGGAGAGGCAGATAATTAAACATATATATGAATAAGTAAGACATATGAAATAATGATATGAGCTATAAAGAAGGCAAAATGGGGTACTCTGATGGCGAATGACTTGGGATGAAGAATAGGTGGTCAGAGAAGACCTCTTTTAGGCGACATTTGAGCCAAGTCTTCAAAATAATTCCTTTTGGAGAGATTCAGTCCTCAGTAATGACAAAAGTGAATATTCTTGTCTCATCCTTCACAGGCAAACCTGCCATTGCTCATCGAGACATAAAATCAAAGAATATCTTAGTGAAAAAATGTGAAACTTGTGCCATAGCAGACTTTGGATTAGCTGTGAAGCACGATTCCATACTGAACACTATTGACATACCTCAGAATCCTAAAGTGGGAACCAAAAGGTAAGCCAACTTACTTTGGCAACACACTAAGTCTTAACGACTGTCCCGTACACATGAATGTCCGGGATGTGTGTAGGGACGGGGGCAGAGTTCCAAATGGGAAATCATTAGGCCCAAGAAAACAAAAAAGTCTTCTCTGGGTCACTGAGAAATGAGTGGCACAATGGTTATAAAGCAAGGGGAGTTGGCATTTGGTCTTACAGAAAGTAGCCATTTGGCCAGTGGAGACGCTTGGTGAAGGAGATGGTGGTATATTGTTTTTAATGTGTCACATTCTGAGAACATATTTTCCTACAGAAAAGAGGAAAACAATGTCCCCCAAAGCCTTTATACCTCACAAATGAACTGAAACTCAGGGCTAGTTCTACATGCTCAGATTCTAAACAACAGATACTTATCTATATAGTGGACGTGAGAGGTGAGGACTGTGCATAATGCTTACATATATGCACTCTTGTGTTCTCTCAGTTTTTGAAAATGTTCTGTAACAACTTCTGCATTTACCCATAGTTGCATTTAACCTTAAGTCTCCCAAATTGATGATGAGTTCGGACACAGTTCCCACATTCAAGGAACAGAATCTCTGAGAGTTAAGAGCGGGCTTGATATTATCAAGTATACCACACATGTGTAGGATGGCCCCATTTGCAGTGGGATGTCCGGTGTTTTCTTGTTGTGGCCAGCCTGTGACCATGGGGTCAGCATGCTTCATTTCCTTTTATTTGTATTTCAGGCTCTGTGCCCCTTTGGCATCCTCCCAGGTTTCTTAACCTTGAAATGAGAAACAACCCAAACATTTCCTGGAGCTGTTAAAGGCCCTTGAGAAAGGAGAATTTCTAAGCTGGCATAGTCGACCTCCAGGCCATAATTGAGAGTCCAGGCCAGTCCCTCTGAATCCTCCACTTGGTTCCTGGGAGACTTGAATGAGGCCCCAGAAATACTTCAAGACAGTTTATTCAGACTGGGCAGCCCTATGGGGCCTCCTTTCTTTTCCTTATAAAAAGCGAGCTTTGACTTTTGCCCATAGTACTGTCCCCACATTAGGGGCTCTCAGGGGAGCCTTGGATGCCAGGTTTCCTGGGATCTAAAACTTTTAAAAGAGTTTGGGAGCGTGTTGCACCCTCACCTGCAAACTCTGAGTAGTTCTCGAAATCTCCCTAGAACAGCTCCTAGGCTCAGTCAGGTCTCAGAAACCGTATATTACTTTGGGTTAGTCCTGTTAAGATAAGAGTGTCATTTTGTTGGAGCCAATATAAAACGTACTAGTATATGTTTCTTGGAGCCAGTGTGTCCATTCAGAACAGATTGTTGTGGGACACTGCTGAGCTCTGTGCTGGAGGACTGGGCCCACCATGAATAAAACCTACTCTTTGCCCTCAAGGAGCTTTCCTTGGCAAGGAGCTACTGGTGGAAATGGAGTTTCGTCTCTCCTATTGAGTGTTGTGCTTACTGAATCCCCTCCGGCTTGTGCTTTCCAAGCATTTGGCTCCTGGCACACATGCTTTAATACCCCTCGTTCTATTAAAAATATTTTTTAAATGATGGTTGAGTCAATATCTGTATTATTTAATCTTATTCTGTTATAGTACAGTGGTTCAGATCCACCTGTAAAACCGATGTAAGCTATCTTCACTTATATTTTGTATCAGGATTTAATAAGATTGTTTTACTGGACTGCTATAAAGCCATACACAGAATCTGACATGTGCATGTTTTGAAGGTATATGGCCCCTGAAATGCTTGATGATACAATGAATGTGAATATCTTTGAGTCCTTCAAACGCGCTGACATTTATTCTGTTGGTCTGGTTTACTGGGAAATAGCCCGAAGGTGTTCAGTTGGAGGTAAGATGTTGGGCATATTCTTTCTGTCTGCTTTTCTTTGAGGTTCTGAATACGATATATGATGTTCTTTTTTTTCTAAGCACTATATTAAATGATTTCTTACTAGTTAAGAGAATACCTATTGGCATATATTATAAGTGGCAAAAGTAGAGTGTCCTGCACATAATGGGAGATTTTATATTATGATTACCGCTTATGTGGGGGTGACAGTTCTCCTGATAATTCTGATTTTGGTAACAATACTTAGCGAAGCACTTGAAATTTTTACTCGAGTTTGTATGCCATTAGCTATATCCCTATTTTATACCAGAAATGAAATCCAAAGAAGTGAAATGGCTTGCCAAGGCCACAGGACTTGAAATGAAGTCTTCTGATTCTCAGACTTTCCTTATTCTTTTCTTTCCTGTGATGAGGAATGTGTGGGGTATAAGGTGGAGGTCAGAGGTGAGCCAAGGCTAACTCCTGACTCTATTGCTCCCAGCAGTTTAGAGATGAATAATGAGAGGAAGAATTTGAGAGAATGAAACCCTACCAATGCAGTCTGATGGGACTGTTTCATCAGTGGGAGAAAGTAAATACTGGGATTAAATGGTTTAGAGTCTTATCTTTCGAGTGAGACAGATTTAGGGCTAAACCTTGGTTTAACAACTTCCTGAACATCTGACTTTCAGCAAGTTACTTGGTATCACTTTCCCCAATTGTGAAATGAAGAAATGAAAAAACGGACCCCACTGGCTTGGAGGATGTAATGGATTAATTCAGTTAATTGAGGTGAAGCTTTTAGCACAGAGCAAACTCAGATAAACATTCAATGAAAGAACTGTCCTTATTTAACCACTACCAACTTTTTGCATTTTGTATTGATCTCATTTTACCTCACATCAATCTCATTTAAAAAAAAGAGAAAAACTTAAAATTGTGTTTGAATGAGGAAACATACGTTCCCCCTGTATTCACTGACAAGATAATAAAACATTCAGAAAGATGAAATTATTTCTATAAGCACTGTAACTACACTGGAAACACTGAGCCTGTGGCTGAGTTCCAGATCTGCCACTAATAGCTGTATGACCTTCAGCAACCTCGCGACTCTCTTTGTGCCTCAGTTTCCTTGTTCTGTAAAATAGGAATAATATAGCACTTTCTTTAGTCAGTGGTTTTGAGGAATGATTAGTTAAAACATCTAAAGGGCTTAGAACAGTGCTTGGTAAATATCAAGATTCAAACATATTTGCCGTTATTTATATTGATATTTGTCTAGCTTTGCTTTTTGGTTTTTGTCCTTAAATTTTCTTCACCTGTCAGAATAGTAATGTACTATTAACACAATTTGAAGTTCATTTTCCAATATTATGACACATCTTAAATGTTTTAAATTAAAAGGACTGTAGTTAATTCAAATGATTTTATCAGGAAATTCTTGAATTTAAGTACTAATCTGATAACTAAGGTTTAGTCTTTGTCTAAGTATTTGAGACTCTTTACATATTAACCTTCATGTTAAACCATCCGTCTTCAAATACTTTGCTTACTTCTTTGGAACATTCTTCCTTATAGAGGTTCTAAAATTCAAATGTAAGAAATTCAGCTCTTAAAAGATTGCCTAACAATTTTTAAAAAATAAACCTATTTTATTTTGAAAAAGTTATTTAATAGAGAAATATACTTCACTCATAGCAATAAGGCCATGCTATAAATTTTACAATTAAATGTTATTTTTTTCTGAATTGCACAGTAGAATGATATGTAAATAAAAATTTATAGACTTTTCATAGTATAAATTATATTTTATATAACAAAATTATATAAATTTAATATATTTACATGAAATTATATATAATATGTAGTAAATAGTTATATAATAGTATTATATAAAATAATTATATAATTTTTGTCTAAAATTTATGTAATTATCAAGATTACATAAATTTTTATGAAGACGAAGGGATCAGTTAAAGAACATATTAAAAATAGCCCATGGACACAGACAATAGTGTGGTGAGGGCAAAGGGAGGAGAGTGGGGGTTGGGTGCAAGTGGTCAGAGGGGTGGAAATGGTGGACATCTGCAACAGTGACAACAAAAAATTTAAATAAAAAATTTATAAATGTATATAACTATTCAACCGAATACTTTAAACTTATATATTTAATTTTTTAAAAATATTTTTATTGATTTCAGAGAGGAAGGGAAAGTGAGAGAGAGATAGAAACATCAATGGTGAGAGAGAATCATTGATTGGCTGCCTCCTACACGCCCCACCCTGGGGATCGAGCCCACAACCCGGGCATGTGCCCTGACGGGGAATCGAGCTGTGACCTCCTGGTTCATAAGTTGACGCTCAACCACTGAGCCACGCCAGCTTATATATTTAATTTTATAGTGATGCATAATTTTAATAGACCTGACTTTCTAGTTTCCCATGCTACCATTTGTGCCTAGAAGACTTAACTAATAAATTATTTCAAAGTAAGCATCTTTATTATTCACACTGGGAAATTTAATGTGCAAATTTCTTATAGGAATTGTTGAGGAGTACCAGTTGCCTTATTATGACATGGTGCCTTCAGATCCCTCAATAGAGGAAATGAGGAAGGTTGTTTGTGATCAGAAGTTTCGACCAAGCATCCCAAACCAGTGGCAAAGCTGTGAAGTAAGCCTAAATTCTTATGTATGTTTTTTCCTATTGTAATTGTGAGGTAAGTATCAGGGAGGATTTTCACAGACCATATAGTTCTTCTCTTTTAATCTAGGCATCCCATTCATTTCATATATGTAGGTTTATGTCTTTGATGTTATTCCCTTTAGCTGTAGTATGTACACCTAATGCTAAGTTATGGGGCAGTAACAATCCCAGGTTAGGCAACTTTCAACAACATCTGTGCTCCCTGTGGTGATTCAGAAATCCAGGTGACTTTGATCTTGGGATGCTACCTCAATGCATAATTTTTAGGTGTCTAGGCCAAGAAAAGAGAGGAGCTAGAGCAGTGGTCCTCCGGAATGAGGCCCAGAAATCAGGATTTTAAAAAGATCCCCAGGTGATTCAAATGTGCAGCCAAGGTTGAGAACCACTGAGCTGGAGAGTCACACACTGGCTCTTTAATGATTTGGCTCCAAGTGACTCACATCCCTTCCAGAACCTGGTCCCATCTCACAGGAAGGGGCCAGGAACCGTGGGGAGTGAGGCATATGGGGGTACTCAATGTCTGTGCCACACAGAGTATTGCAATTTCAGTCACCCTTTTATTCCATAAATTATTCCCAATCCCAAGCCCTGCAGAAGCTTGAGTGTATTCTCTTTCCTCAGAAAAGCTTCCTTTTCTGGCAGGGACAGTTGTTGTTTATCTCTTAATCCCCAACCCCACATGCACTAACCATCATAGAGGAGACACACAATAAGTGGTTATTGCAATGCTGGTTCTGCCGTACCTGAGGATACTTTTCTGGCTCCCACAAAGAGAAAGGAGGGAAGGTGGGGAAAGGCTGTAAACCATCTCCCCCATCCCAGTTATTACTGTATATCTTCTGCCATACTTAAATGTAATGCTTGAAGTCTTTTTGTAAGTTGCATGTTTTAATTTGGCTTTGTCATAGGCATTATTTTATACAGTTGCTTCCCCCCCCGCCCCCTATGCTTCACTCAGCTCTTTCTATTGAAGGCAAGACTTACGTCTTGGTGTTTCTATGTAGATAGCTTACCTATGTACTTACTGTAGAGGTAGAATTTGAGGCATTTATAACCAAATTGAAATTAAAATTTTTCTTATGTTAATAATTTCATATATACGAAAGAATAAATGTCATATCTGTAAAGTTTAATATGTAATAAAAAATGAAAAGCAGAAAATCCAGTACCAAGTTTTAAAAATGGAAAATTTCCAGCACCTAGGAATATTCTTTATTCCTCTGAGGGGTTTCTGTCATAACTAATTATTTATTGCCTTGCTTTTCTTTAGAATTTTGCCATATATATATATCTCACTTACTTTTGAATATTGTGAAACTTATTAAGTCTCACTGTAGATTCTTCGTAAATTTTTTTTACTTTCTCTTAGAAATTTATCTCAGATCTGTTCCTTTTTACATCTGTGTAGCATTTCATTGTATGAACATAGCACAATTTCTTTAACCACTGTACTGTTGATTGTCAGATCTGTGATTTTTCATTTTTTTTTAAATAATGCTGCTATGTATGTATGTATCTGTGTGTGGAAAAATTCCTTTAAGGTATTAAATTATAGACTCTTTTGGAGTGTCCACATATATGATTATGTCTCCAAATAATGAGAGTTTTGGGACCAGTCCTCATGCCTTTTCCTTCTTTCTATTGCACTTTTGAGGATTGCCAGTGTAATGTTGCCTAGAAGTGGTGATAGTGGATATCTTTGTTTTGCTCCTTAGAACTTTGTATTTTCTACACTTAACTATGATGTTTGCTGCAGTTTTTGTTTTTAAAAACTTTAATTAGGGTAAATAAAAGCTAACTTTTATTTGATAAAATGTGAGGTGATTATATAGCATTTCTTCTTTAGTCTCTTTTTTAAAAATTTAGTAAATTTATGGGGGTGACATTGGTTAATAGGATTATGTAGGTGGCAAGTGTGCATTTCTATGATACATGATCTGTATATTGCATTGTGTGCCCCCCACCCAAAGTCAAATTATCTTCCATCACCATATATTAGGCATCTCTCCACCCCAACCCCCCTCACCCTCTTCTCTCTGCTAACCACCACACTGCTGTCTGTGTTCAGAGTTTCAGTTTTATGTCTTACATATGAGTGAAATCATATGGTTCTTACCTTTTTCTGACTAACTTATTTTACTTAGCATAACATTCTGAAGGTCTATCCATGTTGTTGCAAAAGGCAGTATTTCATCTTATGTCTGAGTAATAGTCCATTGTGTATATGTACCACATATTCTTTATCCAGTTCTCTATTGAAAGACACTTTGGTTGTCTCTATTTCTTGGCCACTGCACTCCCAGAATAGACCTAATAGTCATTTTTTATGTAATCAACTTTGTATATTGCTGATACATACAATTTTTGTCTATTTTTGCCCAGTATTTTAGTTCTATCTTATTTTGTTTTAACTCCATGTATTAGATATTGGTGTGATCTTATACCATTATTGTTTGTTTAGACTTATGAACATGTTTATAATTTTCTTTGTTCAACATTCCTTCTTGGCTCTCCGAGCTTTCTTCAAAGGTCATTTTCTTACTTTCTAATGTGCATCCTTTGACCATATTTTATTTAAATTGTTTTTTGTTAGTGAGGATCTAGTGGTTGTAAGCTCTTTCAGCATTTGGGTGTCTGAGAAAGTCTTTATTTTGTCCACAATCTTAAACAAATAGAATAGTTTACCTGAGCATAAAAATTTAGGTTCAGAGTTGTTTTCTCTAAACACTTTAAAGTTATTATTTCACTGTCTTCTGGTTTCCTTTATTGCTATTGAGAAGGCATCTAATTTGTATCTGTTTTGAATTAATTTTTCTTTTCTTCCTGACTACTTTAGTGTTCTGCAGTTTCTTATGATGCATTTGGTCTTGATGTCTCTTGATTAGTCTTGGTTGGAATTTTTGGACTTTCTCATTCTGATGATTTGTAACTTTCCTTGATTCTGCAAAATTCTGAGCCATTATCTCTTCAAATAATTTCTCCTCTCATTGTCTCTATTACTCCTTTTTAGAAAACTCATTGGATACCTGTTAGACCTTTTATTTTACTTCGCTGTTTTTTTATTCTCCCCTATTTTCCATATTTGTGTCTTCATACAGCAGCTCTCACATTTATCTGCCAGTTCATTAATTCTGTCTTAAGATGTATCAAATTTGCTATTTAACTCACCCATTTAGTTATTTTAATGGTCATGCCTTTTCTTTCATTGTTTTGGAGAGAGAGAGAGAGAGAGAGAGAGAGAGAGAGAGAGAGAGAGAGAGAGATATGAGAGATGAGAGAGACATCAATTAGTTGCCTCCCACACATGCCCCAACCAGGGATTGAATCTGCAACCCTTTGGTGAACAGATGATGCTCCAATTGACTAAGTTACAGTGGCCAGGGCTTAATGGTTATACTTTTTATGTCAATAAGTTTTTATTGATACTTTTCTTTTTAAAATATGCTCTTGTTTTATACTTATAGTTTGAATTTCCTCTACTTTAAACAAATTATTTTATATATTTATTTTACATGTTATATCATTTAGTTCTAGCATCTAATGTTTCGATGGGTCTGACTTTACTGCTTCTTGTTTCATTGACTCTTGCTTATGTTACTTTATTCCCTCACGTGCTTGCAAATTTTCATTATGAGCTCAGGCTTACTGCAACACTTTAAGACTTGGGTTTGATTTTTTAAAAAAAACGAGAGCTAAGAGTTAGACAATTTTCTTTACAAAATTCCTTCGAAGTCTGATTTATCCTTACACTCAGAACTTCGCAAGCATCTTGCTCTGACACCTTCTGGGTGCTTCAGGCTGTGTTTCCTCTCTCACATGTGGTCCATCAATTCTGAAATTCTGCAGTGAGATCAGCAGATGCCACCAGAGCAGCCACGAGGCTTTAGTGGCTTCTTGTATCTCTCTGGATTCATGCAGTCTCGTTATCTTCTGCTGGGAGTATTTATTTTACTTATTTACCAATTCACTAATACTGATTTTTTAAAATCAGAATTTTTAATATTTCTATTTAGATCATTATTTTATTGTGGCATACTTTACGTATGCACAAATCTTGATATATAATTTGATGACCTTTTTAAAAATGTATGCATGTGTGTGCTTACCACCAGATAAATATATGGTAAATTTCTAAGCCTTCCCATTTCCCTTATATTTTTTTTTATCATGTCTCTTTTTAGAATATTTTAAACAATAGCCATTCTACCATACCCCCAGGAATCAATGGATGAATTTTCAATTAAAGGTTAGCCTCTGCCTTAACTGGTTTGGCTCAGTGGATAGAGCATTGGCCTGTGGACTGAAGGATCCCAGGTTCAATTCTGGTCAAGGGCGCATGCTGGGGTTGCGGGCTCGATTCCCAGTGGGGGGCTTGCAGGAGGCAGCCAATCAATGATTCTCTCTCATCATTGATGTTTCTCTTTCTCTCTCCCTCTTCCTCCCTCTCTAAGATCAATAAAAAATGTATTTTTAAAAATAACCTCTGTAAAGTAAATATACATGTGTGTGTGTTGACAAGATTGTTGAAGAGGTTTGGTCCTAATCTCCTTCTCATATTATTTTTTATTTACCATTTGTTCATCAGAGCTTAGCATCAATTTCTGGGTTTGTGGTTTTGCTTCTCATGTACTGTGTTTTGTGTGAGTAAAGTCTTTGGTATCTTTCTCTCTTAAAGGCACTCCGAGTGATGGGGAGAATAATGCGCGAGTGTTGGTATGCCAATGGGGCAGCCCGCCTCACTGCCCTTCGTATTAAGAAGACTATTTCTCAACTTTGTGTCAAAGAAGACTGCAAAGCCCAATGATGATAATCATGTTAAAAAGAAATCTCTTGCAGCTTTCTTCCCCCATTTTCCCTCTTTATGTGAATGTGTTTTGCCTTTGTTGTTGTTGTCTACCTCAATGATAATGCAGTACAGTATTTAAGTGTGCAAAGGCAGCATGAAAAAAATAACTCACATCAAGCCGGAGTTGACTTTATCCAGTCTTCATGTTGTCTAATTTTATTTTGAAAAGCAACACATCAGCTCATGTATTTAATAAGAAAGATACTGTAAAGGTGTAAAAAATAAGCTATATAAAATAATAAGCATCATTAAGGTTTTATTTTACTTGAACCAAGAGTGCATGAATGAATGGAGAAAAATGTGTTGAAAAAAAGTGAGATGAAAACAGTCATTAAAAATATAAACTAGAATATGTTATGTCTAATCAAAATGTAACATTATTCAGTCTATGGCAGTGGTTCTCAACCTTCCTAATGCCGCAACCCTTTAATACAGTGACCCCCAACCATAAAATTATTTTCGTTGCTACTTCATAACTGTAATTTTGCTACTGTTATGAATCATAATGTAAATATCTGATATGCAGGATGTATTTTCATTGTTACAAATTAAACATAATTAAAGCATAGTGATTATTCACAAAAACAATATGTAATTATATGTGTTTTCCGATGGTCTTAGGCGACCCCTGTGAAAGGGTCGTTCGACCCCCAAAGGGGTCACGACCCACAGGTTGAGAACTGCTGGTCTATGGTGTTCTCTATTTTTTAAATTAAGCAGGATCTTTAAAAAAATAAATGTTGCTCCAAATTTAGTATACAAAACAGAGAAGTGGAGCTTCTCAGTTGGAAGGTGGAAGTGAGGTCTGGGTCCCAGTGACTTGGTCCCCCAACCCCTACCTTTCCCTACTCTTCATAATCCAGCAGCCCCTGAAGCAAACAGTTAGAAAGCCACTGAAATTGTTACTTCCTCTCATTTACAAAAGAGATGCTTGACATCTGGAGACATGGAGAAATGTCTCAAAGTCACACCACTAGTGGGAGAGCTGGCTCTAGGTCTGAGCCTTGGGACCATCCACACTGCAGAGTTAGCTAGCTTCTTACTGCCCTTCTAATTCCAACAGTATTTCTCTTCCTGTGCCAAAACTTCTTTCATGATGGTATTTGTGGTTTAGTGACACAAGACAAATTGAGGTTTTTTTTGTTTGTTTGCAGAATCATAATGGATCTGCATGAACTCTTAGGACAATACCCATTGATGTTTTTTCCATTGAGCTGTCAGAGTCACCCTATTTGTTAGACAAGTACTAATGTTTTCTAAAAACATGCAGAGGTAAATCAAACATAAAGATCCATTGTCAGAAGATGTCTTTAAGATGCATTTCAGAGGTCCCTATCACTTTTGTGCATACACATTTAGAAGGAAAAGAGCAGAAAAGGAAGAGGAAACTAGGAAATACCTTGAAAAAAATTAAGAAACCCTTAAATGAAGTATAACAACCAAATTCCATAGAGGGTATCAGTAAGTATAAATAAACATTTCCTACCCTTTCTAAATGAGTGAGTGAGTGGGTGCAGAAGAAGGCTCATGATAATATTGCCTGTATTCTACTTCCTGTGGCGATACTAGTAGAAGTGATGAATTCTGAAAAATACATAGAACATTAAATATTTCCTACAAATCTATAATTCTGTTTTGGTGAAGGAATTTGGTGAAGTTTAACATGGTATCTTCTATTGTCCTAAAATACTATTTTCTAAACTCTGTTCCTTAGAACACTCTTCTACTGAGATGATCCAAGACCAGAAGGATTGTTTGATAGATTCTTAGAATGTGATTCCGCACATTAGTGTGTCGTGTGCTTTGATGGGTCTAGCAGTAAAGAAATGTTACTTGGATTTCTTTAGAATGGATTTCCCAAATTATTTGACCATGGAACCTTTTTATTAAGAGGAGGGCAAACCTTTTATTACTCCACATTTCAATGTTCTACAAATCACAGCTTGGGTAACAGTGTCTGAAAAAAAACAAATATATATAATTTTTTTTCACATAGACAACACTGCAGTGCTTATAATTTACTTATCTGTGGACATATGTTACTGAACCCTTCTTCATTTGACTGGGATGATATATCAAAGCCAAAAACCTGGCAGCTGTAATGTGTATATACTTTCACTCTCACTCACCCATTCCTTAAATAATGTGGGGCATCCCATATCTTCCTTGCCAATATTGGGCCCAATAGGGAAATTAAAAGATAGATAGGTTCTGCCCTCAGGGATTTTAAACTCTAACTTGAGAATGGGAACAGACATGTAGAAGTGTGGAGGAAGAAAGCAAATTGACAAATAAATATAGCACAAAGTAGGATGTTTTGAGTTCTATATGACAAGATGATTTGACTTCCACATGACAAATTAGGATGTTTTCAATTCTGTATGGCAAAGTAGGATGTTTTGAGTTCCATATGACAAATTACTTTCAATTTGCAATACAGGTAGAAACATCTTTACTTGGCTATTCCAGACAATCTAAATAATATGTGAACTTTTAAAAATTGCATATGTGAAGGATTTTTTAAAAAGCTTATGTGAAGGGAGTAATCTTGCTCATGCTTGTTACCTTCATTTCTCATAGATTGTTTCTGCATATATGAGAATGAAATTATTTATTTACTATGGTTGTACTATAGTTTCAAATAAATGAGGATAACATTTTCTGTTTTACTCACTTATGTTGGGTGAATATACTTACGTAATTTTTAAGAAAGGCTGTTTTAACCTCTCCATTTTCCTTGTCATTATGTTTATAATTTATTTGAGTGTGTCCAAATATAATTTCAGGTTTTTATTGGTTCAACTTTCAATTCAGAAAAATCTGTACATTTTGAGATTTTTTTTGTTTTTATGTTGGCTAACTAGAACTCCTAACTCAATAGTTTTATATTTTAATTACCAAGTACATTATTTTTAAGAAAGGGGGTAGATTAACAAAAATGATTAGAAAAATTAAAAGTTCTAATTTTTCTTAATTCTCAAAATTATAAATAGAAAATGCTCACTTAAAAATAAGGTAAAGTTTAGAACATTAAGCAAATTTACTGTATATATATATCTATGCTATAAAACTTTGTTTTTTGTTTTTGATGGAGTCTTATTGTGTAATATTTATTTCTTTTGAACTGTGTTAAAAACAAAAAATATTGATCTTTGATTCAAAGTGTCATTGTTCTTTGCTCCTTTTAAATATTTTGTCTTTGAGTATAATATAAAGCTTGAGAAAATGCTATTTATGAAATTTCAGTACTGTATAAAATAGTGAAGGAATATATATATGCAGCATCACTCCCTTAAAGTAAGGGAAACAATATTTGTTGACAATTATTTTAGCATGAACTTGTTGCCTTATAATCTTTGCGTGTAATTGGGTACAGACTCGTGTGCTTTCTTCTATGTCTAAAATATTTGGCATGTAACATCAAAAATTCTTAATTTTTGTTCTGACTTGAAAGTTAAGTGAAATATGACTGTGTCATGCACTATTTTAGGTGTAGCACTTGCTTTTCGTCTTTATACTTTCAATTAACTTTGCATTTTAAATTCCATGATTGTATGAAAATAGTATCCTGATTGCAGTGTCTGAAGACTTAAAAATCAGGTTTTAATTTAAAATGAAGATCTTTAATAGATTCATTAGAAGTCCCATAATAATTTAGTATTGCTTTTACTTTAGTAGAATGATTAAACAAAACAAAGGAAAACTGCTGTGCTGGAATTTTACCACCATGTGACTTATCGGGGGCAGAGAAAACTCAGGGCTATCTTTGAATTTACACAACAGGATGAGGGCACCTACTAGCAAATCATCTGAGAGCAGGGAGCCCACATTTGCCATTATACAAAATCCAGCGTAAAATTGCTTGGCAGGGAATAGTGTTTGGTTAATTATTTAAAATAAATATGGAAATGTATTTTGTTTAAATAAATGTATTTAAAATATGGATATTTTATTTCCCACCAGGAAGTTAAGAAAGTGGACGTAGAGTATCAAATGAATACAGTTGATGGCAATTGATGTTTTCAATATTCGTTCCTTTAAAGAAATTTACAAATATACCATTTTAATTTACTTGGAATGTTTGAGAATTAGTATCTTAAAATGTTATTGTTGTGCTCTTTGGAGATATTCTAAGTATCATTTTTCTTGGGAAACATACTACTTTTATGTGTGACAATGCTTTGCATTAGCCCTCCATAAACTAAGACCTAATGTGGACTTTATGTCCTATTTAGTGAAGAGCATAATCTTCCTGCTCCTGAGGGCTTTTACTAAACAGAAAAAATGTCAGTTGGAAAATGAGAAAATTAATCAAAGAGCTAATGTTAAAAAAATTCTATAATACAGGCAGTTTTAAAAAACATTTCAATGCAAATTTTCAGATATTTGACTTTCTTTTTTCCCCACTAGATTTTCTTTTACATTTCATTCTTTTTCTCACCTCCTTTTCCCCTCACTGTCTTCCAAAATTAGGTTTAGTCTCTAATTAAAAAACCCCACACTAGTTATTATTTAATTTAATCATCCCAGTACTTATTCTAATGATGGAGAATCTATCGCTGGTCTAAATTATTACAGATGTGTCACAGACAAAAACAAAACCAGAACTTGCGAATCATAAAGGATGTAAAAGATTTTCTAATTCAATTCCCATATTTTTATAAATGAAGAAACCAAGGATCAGAGATGCTATTTATTAGCAGAACTGAGAGCCCAGTAGGGACACCCACCATGGTGCCCTACTATATCCAACATTTATAAATGAAAAAATAACGTGCATCTAAACCTACCTTGAATGTGCCATTTGATAGTGATGATCAAATCTTACTCTTTATTTCTGCTGAAATAATTTGCTCACTCATGGTGAGGTCGGTGAGTAAAACAAAAATGGGCTAAGGAAGAGTTTTAAATAGCTAGGTAGTGCTGAATAAATTTTAGGAATTGTGAGAACATGGAGTTTCTTAGTGCAAGTAATGATAAGAGATGCTTCATAACTCTCTTTTTCTCTCCTTTCTCTAGGATTGCTGTTTCTCTTTATGCATTGGAATGGGAGTGAAAGATGATTTGGTAGTTGAATTTGAGACAATATTGATAGCATATTATCTTACTTCTCTCCTAGTTTCTCATTAGTTTATCTTTGGTATTCATCTTTTTTTATTACATTAAAAATTTGTATTTCCTCAATTCTAAACACTCTGTAATTCCTGTTCTAGTAGTTCTAGCTCCTGCCAGATTGCTGCAAAATATTAAATTCTAGTTCATTTCCACAATGACTAGTGTCAAGCTCTTCTACTCTTTTGATCCTAGACTGGAGAAAATTATTCAAACTTAATCTGAGTTTCAGGTTTTAAAATGTCCTAAAAACAGAAAGTGAGATTCAGATCTCAAAAAAGGGATTTTGGATTGCTTTTCAAAGTACTAACATTAATTATACTTTTGGTAGTGTGACTTTTCTTGTGCCTAAGAGCACCAAACTTCTTGA